AGATTGTAATCATTGCAATGAAACGATGGTGTAAAGCTGATGTTCTCCCATGTAAACTATCACTCAGTTCACAATAATAAAAAAAAAAAAAAAGTTATTAGAATAAACAAAGAAACAGTGGGGGACAGCTGATAGTTTGGGAGCTCACTTGACTGGGATGAATTTAACAACCTCCTCTTCAGTCCATTTGTCTAATCAGTAGTTGGGATTTCTACGTCCGAATCTTCTGTGAGATCTTCCCGATGGTTTTTATCATGCTGTAATCCATACGGAGAGTCCTGGGGTGGTGTTGCAGGACAAACACTGGACCACAAGGTCAGTTTAAACTGCAAGGTTGGTGGTTCAAACACACCAGCCTCTCCTTGGAAACCCTAGATACGAGTCTAAACCGACTCGATAGTACTTAGCAACAACAACAATTTGTACTACAACAGAGCACCATACCTTTTTTCATGTCTCTGCTTGGTGGATTTGACCCACTCACCTTTAAGTTGGTAATTGTGGAGCACTTACCCACTTGTGCCACCGAGGGATCTGGGTACACAGTTGTTTTTAAGAGTCTTCGAGTTGATTTGGACTCATAGAGACCTTGTAGTGGGTTTCCAGGGAGCAGCTGGTGAGTTTGAACCGCTGACCTTGTGGTTTGAAGAACAGCGCCACAGCAGGCGTGCTTCCTGAATGAGGCTGAGGGAAGGGAGCCAGGGAAGAAAGAGGTGGCTGAGCAAGCCTTGGACTCAACCCTCTTCCCTCCTGGTAGATTGCAGAGGCCATGGAGATCATGCTGATAGCGGTGGTGTCCCCTGTCATCCGTTGTGAATGGCGGCTGGAGAATTGGCAGGTGGCTCTGGTAACTACGGTGAGTGTTCACGCTGAGGCTGGAGAGCCCCGGAGCCCTCCCCACATGGTGGGCTGGCTTCCTGCCAGAGCTCACGGGTTTGCAGGCTGCAGATAGCCTTCTACCCTTTTCCTTCCCCTAGATAAGGGGTAACCATTCTCTTGTGCTGCTATCAGAGAAATATCAAAAAAAGGGAGGGGGGCTTTAACAAACAGAAATTTATTCTCTCAGTTTATGTGAGGTTAGACATTCAAATTCAGAGCGCTGGCCATGAGGGTCCCCTAGTTCAGGGACTCTGAGTTCAAATGACACACTCTGTTTCTGGCTCTTTTTCTTGGTGGCAATAAGTCCCCCCCTCTCTCTCTGATCACACCTCTCTCTTTTGATCCCTTGTAAAATAGAAGGTGATGCCGGAAACTCCCCTTATTGTCAGGGCTGTGAGCTGAGAGTATATCACATCCCACCCTAACCCCCTTCCATCCGATCCGGGCTGATCACATCAGATCACACGGATCCATAACTGTCAAACCACCAAGGTTCATGGCCCAGCCAAGTGGACACACATTCTGGGGGACACAATTCAATCTGGTGACACAATTCAATCCTTGACTCCTAGGCTGCTGTTTCATGAGTCCACAGGGAAGAAGCGCAGAGCAGATCTGTGTCCCTGAGCCCTAGCTTCTCCAATCGGCTCAGTGAGCTAGGCTGCGGGGACTTAACCACCCTCCGAGACACTCTTCCTGACCTGCACTATGATGCGAACACAACTTTTTTCCAGGACCAAAAGGAGCCTGGTGAACTGCATGTGACGTTTGCACTAACATGGACCGGTAGATGCATGCTTTCTAAAGCATTTATTAAGTGCCACTTACTAGCCAGCACTGCACATGTTGCAGAGATGTAGGGTATAAGCAGTTGCATGCTTCTGAAATGAAAAGTGAAAAGGGGGTC